GGGGCCTGATTGCAGTTTGCTGGTTGCACTGGGAGGGGGTCTGATTGCAGTTGGCTGGTTGCACTGGGAAGGGGCCTGATTGCAGTTTGCTGGTTGCACTGGGAAGCTGCCTGATTGCAGTTTGCTGGTTGCACTGGGAGGGGGCCTGATTGCAGTTGGCTGGTTGCACTGGGAAGGGGCCTGATTGCAGTTGGCTGGTTGCACTGGGAAGGGGCCTGATTGCAGTTGGCTGGTTTGCACTGGGAAGCTGCGATCTCCCACAATGCAGACAGCCTGCCCTGACGTCAGATGACAGCAGTCGGAATTGCTGTGTTGTGGGGGAGGAGGAGGTGGATATTTTTTTGAGGATCAAGGGGGAGGGAGGGACCGGACTGACCGCTCGCTATTGTCTGCGGAGAGAGAGGGAGAAGGAGAGGAGGAAGCTCCAGCCCCAGACCGAGCCCCAGCCTCACCAGCAGCGGCGGAGCGGGGATGCAGTGAGAGCGGCTCAGCCCGCAGCTCCTCTCCCAGTCCGTGAGCTCACTGCCGGGGCTGTATCCCTCTGCCTGCGGCCAGGATGATGGAGCTGGACGATGGCGTGGTCTATCAGGATGACTGCTCGGTGTCCGTCATGTCCGAGCGGGTCTCCGGCCTCGCCAACAGCATCTACCGGGAATTCGAGAGGCTCATCCACAAATATGACGAGGAGGTGGTGAAGGAGCTAATGCCGCTGGTGGTGAACGTGCTGGAGAACTTAGACTCGGTGTTCACCGAGAACCAGGAACATGAAGTGGAGCTGGAGTTACTCCGGGAGGACAACGAGCAGCTTCTCACTCAGTACGAGAGGGAGAAATCCCTCCGAAAGCAGGCAGAGGAGGTGAGTGTAGACAAACTAAACCCCCCTATCCACTTTACATTTATCACTGCCTCAGATTGATCATTGTCTTCAATCTCTCAAATGTGTCAGTGCCTGAAACCCCTCACGTTCAGAAAACACTTCACATTTTATAGAACCCTCACATTTCAGTCTCTCAGGTTAATCAGATCCTTTATGTTTTGAACTGCTTCAGTTTTTACATTTCCTTCAATTTCTCAGTTTTTCATCTTTTTTAATTTTTCCAGTTTCCAATTCCTCAATTTTCCAATTCCTCAATTTTCCAATTCCTCCCATTTGCAGCGTCGACTGCTTCAACCCAAGTGCTTTAATTTAATCATACATTTATTTTTCAACATAGTTTGCGTGGTTACTTTAAACAACAGTAACTTTTAAAACCAAATATTGAATTAAATACCCGTTCCCTCCCTGAGAGTGTGCCTGAATGTGTCTATGTTCATGTAACATGTTTCTTAGTTACCGCATTTCTGACCTGCCTTAAAACGGCCCGTGCTTCTTGCTTTTAAGTCGCTAATCGTCGATTAATTTAATAAAAGGGATTTTATTTCTCGTCGCCCCTGATTTAACCAAATAGAAAATGTAAGCGCCGAAGAATCAAAGTTCAGCTGAATAAAGTAACGCTGAATTGAAACACTTGTTTGTTGTGCAGAGGCTAGCACAGAATAAATGTTGCCATTTTGGATTCCCTTGTCAATCTGATGCAAGCGAATTGATTCTTCCGTGTTGTTCCCATCACCTAGACACTTTGTAGCGTCAACATATGCTTCATTTATGTTTACGTAGCGACTTAAATGTGTTTTTTGTTTGATTTGAGGGGTCCATCTCTATGTGATTTGAGCTCTGTGCTGTGAATGTATGGGCCAAGCTGCAGTGGGAACAATACAGTCATTTTATTTTTTTTCCTCTGCAGATTTCTGCAATGATCTTGGCACCTTTTCAGTGCTTCTTAATGTGGTGGTTAGGACAAATGAGGGTGGATTCAGTCGGGGGAAGTCTAAAACGTAGGGAGCCATGTTGGATAGATTCCAGGCTGAGACAGACTGGACGGGGTGTGGGCCTTCACTTATCATAGGTTTAACCCGTAAAAAGAAATGTAGGCCTTCAGTACGGTAGATGAGAAACCTCCAAGGAATATATTTAACCCAGTAGAATCTAGAACAATGCAGGCTGTCACGCTGTTAGTAATGCAGAAATGGATATTATTGCATTCTGCAGAATCTAGAAACTTCTATAACATAGAAGGAACTGCAAGTAAGCTTGGAATGGATATATCGAGTCTGGACTGAGTGTGTTGAATTCCAAACTGAAGATGGAGTGTTAATATCATAATGATGAGTAGGACAAATAATCAGAAAGCACGCAAGAAAATAACTTGCGGCTCCCCAGTGGATGCCTAATGGGCTACGTGGTTTGATATTGAGTTAGAAAGGAAGAAGATTCTAGACTTTATCCCAAATGTGTGCTGAGTTAGCTATTTTTGACTGAGGTAATGGTAATAATCAGTCTTCCTTAACACTGAATCCTCAGGCTTTGCTTCAGTCATTCATGGGATATGGGCATCACTGGCATGTACTGCCATGCCTGATTGCCCTGGAGAAGGAAGTGGTGAGATGTCTTTTTGAACCATGGTGTGTGGGGGCATCAACAGTTTCCAGAGTAAGGAAAGGGGAATATTGGGCCAATTTTCATTCTTGTGAATCAATTAGTGACCTCCACCAGTGATTGATGTAGAGGGCAGACCTGAGCAATCTTAGCTCAGGTGCCACCCATTTTCCACACCAGGTGGGGGCGAGAAAAAGAGTTGCAATTTCTTAGGAGCTTTCACAAACTCAAGATGTCTCAATGCTTTACAACCAATGGACTTCCTTTAACAAACAAATGGTTCTGGGCAGTAAAGATGATGTTTGGTACGCTTGCCTTCATTGGCCAGTGCATTGAGTACAGATGTTGGGGTGTCATGTTGCGGCTGTAAAGGACGTTGGCTAGGCCATTTTGGATTACTGTGTTCAATTCTGGTCTTCCTGCTGTAGGAAAGATGTTTTTGAACTTGAAAGGCTGCAGAAAAGATTTACAAGGATGTTGCCAAGGTTGGAGGGTTTGAGCTGTGGGGAGAGGCTGAATAGCCTGGGACTATTTTCCCTGGAGCTTCGAGGTTGAGGGTGACCTTATAAAATCCTGATGGGCATGGATAGGGTGAATAGCCAACGTCTCTTTCCCCAGAGTAGGGGAGAAAAAAAAAAATTAGAGGGCATAGGTTTAAGGTGAGAAGGGAAAGATTTAAAAGGGACTTGAGAGGCAACATTTTTCATGCAGAGGGTGGTGCATATCTGGAATGAGCTGCCAGAGGAAATGGTGGATGCTGGTACAATAACAACATTTAAAAGACATTTTGATGGCTACATGAATAAGAAAGGTTTAGAGGGATATGGCCAAATGCTGGTACATGGGACTAGATTAATTTTGGGCTATCTGGTCAGCATGGACAAGTCGGACCAAAGCATCTGTTTCCGTACTGTACGCTTCTATGACTGTATTTGCCCCTTCGAGCCTGCTCCATCATTCAATAAAATCTGATTGTGATTGTAATTGTAACTGCGACTCCATGTTCCTGTCCACTGCCAATAACCCTTTGCCCCTTTATTTGCTAAGAATCTACAGAACGGAGCACAAAATCCTGGCTGCTCTACCTTTTAAAAATAGTCAAAGTCTCTGCTTCCATTACCTTTACCTTGGAATAGGGTTCCAAAAATCCTCAGAGAAAAATGCACCACATTTCAGTCTTAAATTGACAACCCTTTATTTTTGAACAGTGATCCCTAGTTCTAGATTGCCCCACAAAAGGAAATGTCCTTTCCACGTCCAATTGGTCAAGCCCCTTTTGAAGTGTAGTCATCATTATCAAGTAGGAAACATGATGGCTATTTTCTTCACAGAAGAATCTGACAATGTAACCAGACAATGGTTTAAGTGATGATGTTTGAGTGTTTAATATTGGCAAGGGCACTGGGGAAAGCTCCACCAATCTTACTGAAACGGTGCTGCAGAATCATATAGATCTGCTTGGGAGGAGGGTAGATGGTTCCTCAGTTTAATGGCTGATCTGAAAGACAGGATTTCTGATGGTGCCACACCCCTGCAGGAACATCAGCCTGGATTTTGTGCTCCATTCTGTAGACTGGGATATGAACACACAGTCTACCAGTGCAGAAGTGAGAGTTCTACCACTGATGAGTAAACTACTTCCCTAAAGTTAGTGTCTTGGATCGTGCAGAAATGATAACCACTTGAATATGAAATCCAAGGAAATGTGTTCCAATGTGAAACATTGTAATGAGCATACTCGACTCGTTTTTTTTTTTCTCCCACCCTAAAGCTGGAAACGTTTGGACCTTAAGAAAATTTAGCAACTACCATAGAGAGAAGTAATGGCTGTGGGGTAATTTTCTAAGTGTGGTCAGTGGTGGGAAACCCTGATTATAGTCAGTGGATATTGGGAATATTGTAAGTGTCCTTCCAGAGATTGTTATCCTGCGATTTCAGTCGACTGGAAGTAGTAAACAGGATAGCTGAGAGTTCTGACAGCAGAAGGTGACATTGCCAGTGTCCCTAGATAATTGCCCTATGTATTCCAGCCGTATGAACATTTTAGAAATGTGAGCTTTACTGGTACGGAGTCATGGAGACCATATTGATGTGCTGAGTCTGCTACTTCTGGCAAAATTCAGAACCTACAAGCCTCGGTGGACTGTGCAGGTGCTTTTACAAGGCCTTGTCCCTCCCTGACATCCAGTTCTTCACTCTGTCCAAAATGTCTGTTTCTCCAATTTCAGTTCCTTGCACATTCCCTAAGTTAATTGCAGCACCATTAATATATGGGCTTTCAACTGCCCTGGACTTGAATCTTTGAAATTTCCCTCCCTAAACCGTACCATTTCTCCTACATCTCTTTCTGAAATGCTTCTTAAATGCTATGCCTTTAATCAATCTTCTGATGATCTGTTGTAATATCTCCTTGTGTGTCAAACTTCATTTGATTATGCTCGTGTCAACACTTTGGGTTATTTTATTATGTTGAAGTTACTATTTGAAGGGAAGGTGTTGTTATTTGAAATAGAAAATCAATAGGACTTGATTTTCTGACATTTTAATCAAGAATATTGTCCTTAATATATTACAGGAAATATTATTATTTATATATCTCATCATAGTGACAATCATTTGTTCACTTTATAGTATATAGTTTCATTTTAGATATTTTATTTTAGTTTCATTATTTTATTGTTTTAATTATGTCATAGCTATAGCAGTAGTTTGTTTACTTCCTACTATAAATAAAATGTGGTTAAGAAATTTGGTAAATGTGGTTAAGTTGTTAATGACAGTGCTTGAAATGAGAACAAAAAATCTAAATGATATTGCAGTTATCCAGATAGTATTTTTTTAATTATTAAGTTACCAATTTGTATTCCCCATGCCATAATGCACTTGTCTGACCTGCTCCTTATCCATCGATTTTGCCATTGGGTAAATTTAACATGGGTTATATGTTCTTTCCCATTTTTTGGATCGGGTAAAATATATAGAGCTAGGTTTCCATTAGATAGCTGTTGGTTGTTTGTATGGAAGGTTTGAGTTATAAGGAAAGGCTGGGATTTTTCTCATTGGAGTGTAGAAGGTTGAGGGGTGACTTGATAGAAGTTTACAAAATCATGAGAGGTATAGATAATCTGCCTCAGAAGGCATTGTGGGGGAAGCATTACTAAATATTTTTCAGGCAGGAGGTTAAGTCTTGTCAGGCAGAAAAATCAAAGGTTTTTGGGAATGCAAACAGAGCAGCCATAATCTTGTTAAATGGCAGTGGATCAGGTCCAAGAGGCCAAGTAGCTTACTTTGCTCCTAATTTGTATTATACATCTTAAAATATTCATCTCTTAAATAGGGTTCAACCCAGCTTGGTTTAGATGTGCAATCAGTTGGATGTG